TTTAGATTTTTTTTTAATTTTACTTTTTTCTTATCAGTTACATTTTATTAACTCTGTATCCCAGCCGTGTCCCCATCCCTCACTCCCTCCCAGTCCCTCCCTCCCTCCCTCATCTCCACCGTGCCCCTTGCCAAGTCCACTGATGGGGGGACCTCCTCCCCATTCATCTGATCTTGTTTTATCAGGTATCTTCAGGACTGGCTGCAAAGCTCTCCTCTGTGGCCTAACAGGACTGTTCCTCCCTTGGGGGGTGGGGAGACCAAAGAGCCAGTCATTGAGTTCCTGTTAGAAATAGTCCTTGTTCCCCTCACTATGGGAAACCAATTGGTTACTGAGCTACCACAGGCTACATCTGAGCAGAGGTTCTAGGTTACATTCATACTTATAATGTAAAGTCACAAGGTTGAGCCCAGGAAGCCCCAAGGCAGCCACAACAAAGTGTGAGTTTAGTTGGACTGTCTTTTAAGTTGTTTTGTGTGTCTAGCTCCAGCAACAGAATTCTAGCATTTTTGCCCACGTTATGCTTGCTGTTGACCTGTGAACCCAAAGCCTGAATGAACACTGTTGTTTCTGGAACTGAAATTTCTGGATGACTCAGGGTGTGAGCATCTTCTTTCTTTTCCCCCCCCCTTCCTGTTTTCTGGAATGTTTGTTCTGGTAAGGTATGTTTATACCCAAATGTCCAAATCTGAGACCTTTTCCAATGTCACTTTTATAAATCACATAACAAATGCTTATTTGGTCAACTTGTGCAGTTCTTACTCGGACCCATCGCTTCAACCCTCCCTGCCAGTTATCTCCCTTAAGGACTGACTCCTCAACGCCATCCCACAAAGGCACCCTGTCCTTTCAAACTGAAGTTTCATGTAGGTGCCTGGGTTCTATCCCTTCAGCTGTCTTGTCTACATCTCAATGTTCTCTCTAGTTCTAGAAGAAACCTTCTAATTCTTCACTGCTTTCTGAACTCTACATGAACCAAATACTATTATTTTCCTGAAGCGTTGGACTGTGGGCATCCAGGTCTGCTCAATACTTTTTTTTAGGAACATTGTTTTCTGAGTGTTAGAACCACCCTCCAACCCCTGACCCCTGCCCAAACCCACCTTCAGTAACCCAGCAACATTGGCTATGTCATCACTAGCTGCCAAAATGCAACACTTTTCCGCTGTTGCCACAAGTCTCAGATTCTCCAATGAGCATGCTCTATACCCCTTTATTAAGAGGGAGTGCCTTCACTGCCCATCCTTTGCCCCTTCCCCCTTCACTAAGAGGCAGGCTGTGTATAAACCTCTTGCCTGAGATCTGTTGCATGATGTGATCTTGTGGCATTCGTTGGCTCCAATCAGCCAAGGTCTCTTCCACCTCAAAACCCTAACACCAAGAGCTTCTTAAAGCTGAGTATTCAGTAAAACATTTGTAAAATCGTCTTGGTTGTTATTTGTGTGCGTGGGTGCACTGTTGCATGCCATGGGTAGGTCATGGGGGCAAATACTGGGAGTCAGTTTTCCTTCGACTGGGAGTTCTAGCAGAGATGGGGAGGCTTGTGGGACAAGTACATCTACACACTGAGCCATCTGGTCCACCCTGGAACATACCTTCAAGGATTAAATTAGAGAACCCTTCAGTGTTATTCTTCAGTTTTAGAGACTGGTTCAATTATTCATAGTAAGTATTCTGGGGGAAAGGAAATGAAGTGAAAGAAAAAAAAAGTTCCTAGTGTTTAGTCAACTCCACCCAAAAAAGCAAGAGACACAAGCATGATACTTTGGCTCCTGTGGAGTTATGATAGATAGAGGATCAAAGACCTTTCAGAAGACTCCACTCCTTCGCTTATGTTTTTCAACAGTGTGGTAATATTAATTGAATTCTGAAGAGGGTCGAGCATAATTCTAGGTTCTGAAGTTGTAGTGGTTAATTAGGTTAATTCTATCTTGTATGTATGAATTTCTCAAAACATCATCCTGAGAACCTGTATTCAAATTAACAAGGGCATGGAATCCACCAATAAGTCCATAGACAACTGAGCATATATGCAGATGTGCTATATACTAAACCGAATGCTACATCAGCAATTAAGAAAAGTGAACATGCTGTATGTGGACACAATGGTGTTACTTTGTAAAAGAGAATGAAATATTGTCTCTTATGGCAACAAGCTACAGGAAGGTATCACACTCATTTAAATAAATAAGTCACAGAAAGACAAATACCCCCACATGCATTCATAAATGGTAAAAATAGAGTCACAGAAGTAGAGGTCAGTGGTCACTGGAGGCTAGCAAGAGAGGGGACAGAGTATGGCTAAATAATAAGAGGCAAGATGCATTTAGTTAGAAGATATTAGTGTTCTATGTCACAGTAGTGTGATTATAGTCTGTAACAATTTAGGATGTATTTGAAAATATCTGGACAAATCAGAAATGATAAATGTTGGGAGAGGTGAAAGCTAATTCCATGGATCTTATCATTATGTGTTGCACATGTGTGCTGAAATATGCCATATCCCATAAATATGTGTATATACTATGACAGTTACATTACTTTTTTTTTAAAACTGAAGAAACCATGTTAGATAGTAAAAAAATATATATATATTATAAATGAAAACCATTTAAGATAAATCTTTCCTTTTTTATGTTAACAGGCTCATATAAAAATATAACAAAATAGCCAGGGCTGCTCCATGCCGAAACCCAGGCACCTGATTCCATGGGGTTCAGGATTATGCACCTTAATTACTGCTGCACAGAACATTTACATACAGAAATTTAAGAAATTTAAGAAATTCTGATACTGAGGTCAGGGTGGCGGTAGAGCTTGTTTTTCTGGTGACCTTGACTTACATGGAGTGACTCATTCTGGTTCCAGTGATGGCTGTTGGGAGTAAGGCAGGCACCTGGTCTCCTGGTATGATGATGCCTTTCTGACAGGCCTCTGTTACTCAGTGAGCACAGAGAATTTGATAATTCTTTTTTATTCGTCAGGTCTCAAAAGACGGAGTGAAAAGCTAAGCACACACCAGGGCTTGCTTACGACTGACTCCTAAGTTTGCTAGATTTCATTTCATTTTCATGTGCATTCAGATGTGAAGAGACCCCTGGATTTTCTCAAGAGATATGGTGGGTTTCGCCTTCATTCATTCACACCTTTGCTTTAATTTTTCAGTTTTAAATCAGACTTGGGTAGTGATAAAAATTCACCTTTTTGTCATACAGAAGCACAGGGGATTTTTCTTCCCGTGTTTCACAGCTGTTTAAGTCGACTTGTTTCAGACCTAAACTCTAGAAGCCTCTATCACCACATTTCCTGTTTATAACTGAACAAAGTACATACAAAAGAGTTAAAGAAACAGGAGAAAAACCAAGTACTGATAAAGACATATGCCGGTGCTATACTGTTACTAACATAACAGAGCAACGGTGCTTAGAGGAAATAAAGCTGGTGGGAGAATTCTTAGCCTCCCGTCTGTTTCATGGCTGCACGCAGGGGCTTCTGAAAAGACAAGCATGGGAGGTGAGTGGCATTCTCAGTTCTTTTTGGATTTATTTTGTTTTGTTTTGTTTTCACTCCTATGCCTAACAGTTTATTTAGTAATTTCTAAGTCTGAACAAAGAGATTTATTTGTCCAAATTTACTTGTAGGAAAGTAAATTGGTTAGCATGGTATTTTTAATTAATGCAAGTGATGTTTATTGTGATCAGAAAGTGATTCCAAATTGCATTAATGGGTATATTGATTATTTGCTCTTGAAAGAAAAAAGTAGACAGTGCTTTCTAAAATTAAACCACAGTTATTGATGAATGTTCATCAATAATTGTGTCATTTGAAAATTTACTGTTTTTACAGAATCTTTTGTTGACTGTGTGTATTTCTCTTCACTTGGTTTAGATAGAAAACAGGATAGGAGTAGTTAATTGCTATTGTCTAACAATTAGACATCATAGTTTCCCCACAGGAATTGGTAGAACTGGAGATGAAAACTTTGAAGAAGCCAGTGGAAATCTCATGGTGAGATAGATCGAGATGGGAGCTTAGATCAGTTTGTTACTATAAATCCAAGTCTGTTCTGTCCTTCATTCCTCCTCTATTCTTGATGTGCTCTTTGTTTCTTTAATAAATGTTTTTACAACAGAAAAAAGTACACATTATATAAAGAAAAGGCATTCTGAAATAGAAAAAAATATCTTACAATCAAACATTTAATTACTTTAAAATGCAAAATATTGAGATGAATTTTCTTCAAATTTTCTATGCATTCCATACAGTTTACCTTTTATAGCTAGAATATTAGCATGCTTTAAATCATAGATCCAGCTTTGTGACCAGCTCTGCAACATAATGATTTCCTTTTTCCTTATAGCTTCTGCCTTGTCACATTAAGCAGATACAGAATTCACTCATTGCACTAATTAGAATTTTTCCATTCATTCATTTAATGATAGATACTTCTGTTGTATCCAGTATTTTTTAAGAACAATATTTTAAATGGCAGGAAAATGAATGTCTCTTAGGCCATTGTGTATTACCGAATAAGATATTATGGATATTTTCAGTCTTGTTCCTAAATTGCTTCGTCAAGGCTGATGACAATTCCTTCACAATCTGGAGTGTTTTGTTGTTGTTTTTTTTTTAATAGCTGCTCTCATTTAACAGTCTTCATGACCACAACATACGAGTCCACTGCCTAATACTCACGACTTTGGTTACAATGAACTTGAACTCCAAATAGTCTGCATAGGCTTTTAGGCTGTTTGTAATTCTTTGGTTTTTACCTTTTCTGACCATATCTTACACCTAAATGTTAATGTTGTTGCCATGTTTAATAGCAGTGTGCTTTGACCAGGAGTAGAGTAAAAGTATCACATACTGTAATTTCTAAGGGTTTGCTTCCCAGAATGTTACCTGAAGGATTTTTTAAAAAATCTTTTGTTTTGGTAAAGCACAGGAGTTGCAAGCTAGCACATGATGTTTATACATGCCTTCTTTTTCCCGGTTCATAGGAGAGCAAAAATGAAGAGAATAGTTCTCATTTTGCTAGGATCGTTTAAGAAATGGACAAAGCAGTATTCTGCCCATGCTGCTGCTGGAAGCTTGGGAAAGGGAAGCTCAATGAATGTGATGTTCAGCTCTCTGTGGAAGTTCCTAGTTCTAAATCAGAAGAGTTGTGATACATACACTTCACAGCTCAGCACTCAGGCACAAGGTAGCAGCTCTCCTTTCCAACAAGGCCTTCCCAACACAGAAATGAAGGTGTTTGCCATTAAAGCCTCCTTAAAGCCAAAATGATCCCCACCACACAAAGTGCAATATGAACAAAGGGAATCCGGTGATAACGTTTTCTACATTTAAACAGATGAAATAAACATGTTGATACAATAACTATGCTTCTCCCTTTACATAAAATGAGTATTAACTGGATTAAATGGAGAAATATGTTCCTCTGACCCATCATTTAACTAACAATGGTGTTCACACATTTAGTTCACAGAACTAAATGTGTTCATTCAGAACACAACACTTTGTTGTGTTTCACTGTGTGCTCCACAAGGTTCTCACTGTCTTTGCTCACTGGAGCGTCAAGTACATCTCTGAGTGGAGTGAGACTCTTGTAGAGACTAGGGTTGACTAATTGTGAATGGTCTCTTAACTTCAGGCATTCTTTCAAAGACCCAAAGTCAGTTTCTTAACCACATAGTTTAAGTAATAACTGTCAGTAAATTTAAGACAAGCTATCAAAAGGGAAAAAAAGCAAAACACACCATCACTTAAGGGTCACAGTTATGAAAAAGCAAATGCACTCAATTAATAGTTAATACTGGGTCATTATTGCACAGTTCGCTACACATTTTAAATTTTATTTAATAATCACATCATTTCTTAATTGAAAGAAAATAGAATAGGCCTTTACAGAACTTTTGACTCCAGTATTTGGTGGATTATAAGGTCCCATAAGGCCATGCTCCTCTCCACAGTCCTTCCATGTTGGTTCTCTAACAAGAGACACAGTGTGTGCGCAAGATGAAGTAACTAAGCGAGGAGGAACAGCAGCTCATCTACAGCACTTCAACCCCAACAGCATCTGTGGAGTTTACCAATCTCAGACAATGTTTAATTGTAAGTTTAACTGCAAAAGCAACCAAGCAATCTAGCACTGGAGAAATCTGTGGCATGCACTCTTAAAATCTGCCATATACTTCATAAGCATCTGTGCATTTTCTTCAGTTAATTTAAATGTTGACTAGGAGGAATCCACATGATTTAGAAGGAGGTGGGCCTGATGCAACAAGGATGAAGTCAGACACTCTAGTTTGACAGCAGGCTTACTGAGAATCAGTGATTTGCACAGGGGAAGTCACACAGCTTCCGGAGGCCTAGTCTTGTTCTCATTCTCATGTTGTGCGAAAGTAGACACATCAAGGGTTGTATTACTATTTTGATTCTCCTCCATGACTCTGTGATTGATACCATTCAAATCTCAGATACCCTCTATCTTCATTTTGGGGTTGGTGAGTTTCGAATTTTGCAATAAAAACAAGTTGTTTACTTGGAAACCTGGAACTAATGTGAGAACTCTCCTCATGCTAACATCGGTAATTCTCATGCCCTTGGTTGGAGATGCGGGGCCTAGGTGGTAGAAGTTTAGAACATGGACAAGGTGATAACATGCTATAGCCACCAAATAAAAATATGCTGTATTCAACACAACTACCACCACACTGAAGAAATAATTTCATGAGTTGACACATAGGGATTGTAATATCAATTCAGTTTTTTCAAAACATTTGGATGTGTCAAATGAATGTGCACATTTGTGGAATGCAAAAAAGGTATTCATTACTCTAACAGAGTTTATAAGTCAAAGGAAGGCACCATGAGAGGATGGCTATATGTGTTAAATACACATACTTGTCCTAGGTAAAGATGGTTTGAAATATGTAAAGAATTATGTTTATTTGTTTAAGTGAAGGTTTCTGCACTAATAAAGTCTGCTAATAGAAAAGTATTACATTTGCTTAGCCAGGTCTTCTTCTAGAACATATGCAACTATGAATTCCATATACAATGCCTGCCAATACCTGTTGGCTTTAAGGGAATTAGAGATCTTGCAACTAATCCACCATTATTACCCTTGGAGATTGAAAACGAGCTAGAGATTCATGTAATTTTTTTCTATTTGTCATTGCCTCACAAAAGATTTTTCCTGAGCCCTTTGGCTTCTTAATGATGTAAGTAGCCAAAGTAGGAGTTCTTTTTAAGTCAATAAAACTATATAAATGAGAGTACAATTGATAAATAACTCTACTAAAACATGCTCTTGTTGAACAAATGTTGTTGAGTACAAGAGTGAGCACTCTGCACACATAGAAACTCAGAGAGATGAGGAGATATTTGCACTGCACAGTAATAATGGAGAATTACTAGACAGAGGAGGGCATTTTGTGTGTGTGTGTGTGAGTGTGTGTGTGTGTGTGTACACATATGAAGATCTGTTGAAATGGTCTTCTTAGTTACTTAATCTCTACTCTTCCATGTGTGTGTTTTATTTTTCAAAGTGACGGTAGTTATTGCTAGCAATCAAGAAAATGTTTTCATTCCATAGGATGGCGGGAACCTGAAAACTTAAGGTTTTTAGGTTCAAATGCTGAAAAGAGAAGAGCAAATCACTTGACAGGCTTCTCATCTTATTACGTCACTCATCAGGAGGTCATTTCCAGTCACGGTGAACTCTTCAAGACTGAACACCCTGGCTTTATACAAGTAGACCTTTTCTGTCCTTGCAGCTGGCTTCACGGCCTAGCTCTACTTGTAATAGTGTTCAAACCCCCTTTTCCAGACCTTTTATCACACCAATCAAACTCCCTAAAGGAAGCAGATTTTATGATGTGGTGGACCCACCTATCCGTTTGATCAGATGGCTAGACATCAGCACTAACTGCTTGTTCCAAGTTTTCTGAGAAACAAACGAAACACCAGCACGTTTCTTGGTAGTGATAGACTCAGAGCAGACAGACGTCCTTAGTTGTGTGCATTGTTGATGAACACTTTTATCAAAGCTACAGAGGCCTAGCTTATTACTGTCTCTAGCACTAGGTCTGGTGCTGCTGGGAGGTTGGGCCTTCTCAGCAGAGTTAGAGTTAAGCGGAACAGAATCTGTGGCATCTCTTCCTGGGTTGTGGGTGTGTCTAAACCTCATACTTGGTCAGAACCTTTTGGGGAGGGGGATCTGGAGCATTATGTTAATTATCCTTTCATTTTTCAGTTATTGAGTGAGCTAAGAGTGCTTGATGAGAAATGACATTCTCCCGAATTTATAGCAGAAATAACAGAACACTTAAACAGTGAGATAATGTAACAAAGATAATATTAGTATCAAAAGCTAACATTTATTGATTATTTTAATAGCAACACTGTTCTGAAAACCTTCTCAAATGTTTTAAAGCAAACCCCATAATAATAACAACCATTATTACTTTCCTTTTAAAAATGGAGAAATTGAGGTATAAAGATGAATAGAAAGTTCACAGTGTAGATTAGTAGTGAAATTAGTGCACAAATGATAACAGAATGTTTGTTAAAGTGTAAAGAGATGAATAAAGGCCTCAGAGAAAAGAATGTTTATTTGGTTTTGAATTAATCCCAGGAGAAAGGCATTTCAGGCTAAGGAATTATACAGAAACACAAGAACATAACAAGGTATACTATCTATTGATGACTGTAAGTACTTCAGAGTGATTGGAGCATGGTATATGATTAAGAGGTTGCAGCAGTAAAGTACCAAAAGAAGTGCAGGAAATCTGAAGTATCATTTTGTGGGAAGAGTTAGTGATAAAGAATAAAAATCGATGCCCTCTACTTTTGGCCAGAGACAGGGACAGACGTTACCCTGTGTCTTAGACTGTAGAGAGCATTCAAGAAGAAAAGGCTGGCACTGGGGAGAGTGCTCAGAAGGCAAAGTCCTTGTTGCTCACACATGAGGTGAGTTAGAATCCCCAGAACTCAAGGAAAAGGCGATGTGATGCCATGTATTTGTCTGCTACAGGGCAGAGAAAGACAGAACCCAAAGGCTTGCTGACCAGCCAGTTTAGCTGAAATAGCGAAATTCTGGTTCATGGAGAGACCCTGTCCCAAAAACCTAATGCAGACCAACAAGAGAAAGACAGCTGAAGCCAACCCCTGGACATCACATCCCCATATTGACAAGTACAGCAACATATACGTCTACCCACAGGTATACAGCATGCATACACAAACATAAAAAAAAAAAAACCTCACCAACTTTATCCAGAGGTCAGTGAGGAGGAGCACATGTGGGGCTGGATGGAAAGCTGGCGTTTCTGCCAGGAGTGTTGGGTAACGTGGTGGGATCAGCTGAGAAAACAGTTAACCCGATGCTGCCTTCAAATGAGCACACACAGTAACAGAGCCGAGCTAGAAGATGGGATGTTGTGTTTTAAAACCTTGGTGTTAAGATATAAAAGTCCTTTCTATTATATATACATAACTTTAAAAACTTCTTTTTAAAAAGAATCATGTTTATTTATTTGTGTATGGAAATCAGGAGACAGCTTGCAGGAGTGGGTCTTTCCTTCCACCATGTGGACTCCAGAGATGCATCTCAAGGTGGCGGGGCTTGCCAGCAATCTTTCTAGCCTCAATATTACATACACTTTCCCTTGGCCATTCAACTAAACAATTTTGAGGCTAAAAATATTAAGAGTGTGTAGTTTTAGCAGCTAATACTTCATCAATCTCTCCAGACTCTTTGTGTTTTTATTTTTCAAGCAATTGCCTATATAAAAATCAATAAATACTGAGCATGGTAGCATATTCATGTAATTCCAGCACTAGTGAGTTGTTCAAGGTCAGCCTGGATTACACAAGATTGTTTCAGACAAACAAAAGCAAGCAAGTTTCATTATATATATATATATATATATATGTGTGTGTGTGTGTGTGTGTGTGTGTGTGTATGTATATACACAATGTCATGTGACATGCAGAATTTCTTAGTTTATTTGATGTAGTTAATATATTTTATTAATATAATATTATAGAATGCTTATAAATACTTGGAGTTTTCTTCATGAGGAATATATTGGTTCATGTGTCACAACAAAATTTATTGTTTTTAATAAAATCATTGCACAAAGGAAAACATTATTAAGGCTTATAATGTTTTTACCTTTTATGAAACATAAATAGTTTCTCAAAAGAAAAAAGAAACCCACATATTTCACTATAATTATCAGTTATTATTTTTCTATTCTTAATTAATCCTTGAAATTTATTTTGTAAAGAACACATTAGAGGTTGTCACCAAAGGAAGTCAGAAGCAGCCTTATTCTCAATTGTTTATGATGTCCTGAAGATATAGAAACAATAACAGTATGAAATTAAGTAGCAAGCAACAAACAGACAAATACTTCTGGCTTTAAATGAACTTCAAACCAACTTAAATCAAAACAATAGATGTGAACAAGTATGTAATAATCAGGGCTGGAGAGATGGCTCAGTGGCTAAGAGTGAAAACAGGAAGACCTGGTTCTGATCCTAGCATCCACATGTAAGAGGCAATAACAACCTGACAATTGGGTGTGGACTCATGTGAGTCTGTAAAGCCAGCACTCTTGAGACAGGAGGATAACTGGAGCTTGTTGGTTGCCAGCTTAACTCCAAATCTAGTGAGAAATTCTTCCCAAAGGAAACAAGGTAAAGAGAGATAGAGTGGGATACCCCATACCCCCTCTGGTCTCCGTGTGCCCACCCACACCCATTCATGCACATATACCACTCTCACACACATACAAATAAGTTACATGTGTGTATGAATGTACATGTCTATATCATAATACATACGTAGCACATTTAATTCTTCATATGCCTCAGCATGTTTATTTAAAAATCAATGAGGCCCACTTAAACACAGGAACATCTGATGGTGACTAACTAGCTCTCAAAGTATCAATAAGAAGGCAAAGAAATAGTCATGATCCAAATGTCATATCTGAGATGCAGAAAACATTAGAAAAGCAAACATGTTTTCATTGACATTCTGAATTCTCTAAGTGTTTAAAGACAGCCCAGGGAACAAAATAAATTTCTTTTCTATGTTAACTGGGTGTTTTTATGGAATTCCTATCGGTAGTAGTGGGTTTCTCTGACTCTTTGATCTGCTCTTGGGACTCTTTTCCTCCTACTGGGTTGTCTTGTCCAGCCTCGATATGTGCCTAATCTGATTGTATCGTGTTATGCCACATTTGTTGGTGGATATCCCCGAGAGACCTTCTCTTTTCTGAATGGAAACGGAGGAGTAGGGAGCAAGGAGGAGTGCAAAGAGTGGAGGTCAGAATGTATTGAAAATAAAAAATAAAAATAAATTAATTTTTAAAAATTATTTATTTATTATGTATACAGTGTTCTGTCTGTATGTGTGCCTGCACACCGTAAGAGGGCACCAGATCTCATCACAGATGGTTGTAAGCCACCATGTGGTTGCTGGGAATTGAACTCAGAACCTCTGGAAGAGCAGCCAGTGTGCTTAACCTCTGAGCCATCTCTCCAGCCCATAAATTAATTTTTCAAAAAGTTTTTAACACTGTTTATTGTGCTTAGCTAAGTGATATTTTATTTTCCTGAAAGGTTCCAAAATGGCCTCTGATCTGGTCTCACGGTGAGAAAGTAGGGACTCTGAAGGTCTGTGATTGCTTGTGTCTACTTTCACATGCAGGCTATTTACAGCCTAATGTTCTAATTATGTACGTAATATTTGTATTCCCCACAAAAGAGCTTCTTGAAGGCAAAGCTGCTGTTGCTTGGTTGTTTTTTGTTGTTGTTTGTTTGTTAGTTTTAAATCCTTGATTCTTTGGTATCGGGCATAAACTCTACATAGTGAAGATATCTAACTGATACTGGTTATAATCAGTGGATTACAAGTTACTCTTCTGGGATCAATGTATGACATGAGTTATGTTGGCATGACTACCAAGAAGTACCGAGATATACCAGAATATATATGTTGTCTTCGTGGTTGCTCATGAATGTGTGGAGGTAACCATCAATCATCTGGTGCAATCGACTAGAAATAACCTAACTCATTTTATCACTCAGAAATAAACTGAAAAGAGAGGCCTTCACAACAGTGACCTCTCCCCTGTCCATTAATAGGACATTCAGTAGAATGAGGAAAGGTCCTTGTGGCCCATTCTAATAAAACTGCTACAATGATTCCAGAATAACTGTTTCATGCCAATATCTAGCATGTTACAGTCCTGGGGCTGATGAAAAGAATGAAGCAATTTTCTGGAAAAAAAAATAGCCTGAAGAATAAAGTCTGGGAGAGTCTAAGAGAAGAAGACTAGGGACTAGGGGTGATCATGAGAATCCTGATTTGGACTGAATAATTATAACCAGTCACCACTTGTTACCCTTAAATAGCTGAATTTATCTCTCATTTTATTAACACTAAAAATATAAAAAGCTTTCTATAACCACTCTGAATACAAAAACTTATCATCACTTTGAAATCTGCAAAAATCTGGTTGTTGATGCTTACCAATCTCACAGATCTGTCATTCATTGCAAGTAAAAGAAATTGATTAATTTATTTCTCAATTTTGAGACAAACCCTTACTTACATAGCCCAGGCTCGCCCAGACTCCTAGTATTTCTAGTGTTTTAGCCTCTCAAGTGCCTCACTCTCCGGTGTGAACTGCCTGCCACACTCCGCTAAGCATAGTGATTCGAACTGTGACATTAGCTGAAGTAAAACTGACGTGTAGTAAGCTGTGGTATTACAGACATATCTACTTTTGTTTCCAGGAACTGAATGCCCCTTTTTCTTCTGGGGACTTCTAGCCTTCTTGGCCACAGCTCTGATCATGTCCTTGATCTTCAATATTTCCCACTGTGTAGAGAAGCAGCGACGAGGTAAGACCTGACAAATCATTTTACGGCACCTGCTCCAATGTAGACCCTAGCAAACCTCTGGCGTAGACCATTAGGAAATGTCATTAACTGCTGTTGTAACCATGGGAAATCTAGTATTGTTTTCACCCCAAGGGCTCTCTTAATTTAAGAATTAAATCACTTTAGAGATGTGAGAAGAACCTCCCAAACTCAGTTTTACTCTGTCTCAGGACTGACAGCTAGAAGGAATTATTCTGGTAAATAGGCTTTTCAAAATGAACAAATCAGGAAATGGCGATCTCTTGAGACAGTGACAAAAGGGAAGAGTTGCTCCCTAAGGCTCTACTGAAGTCCTTCTTTCCTTCCAAGCTCTAGCCATGGGAGTCAGCACTGATTAGAAAAGCCACAGGCTGAGCCTGGGCCTGTCATCAAGTCTAAAGCAGGTCAGAGCATCTGTCAGAGCCACTGCTAGTTAGGTCTTATTTTAGGCAGGTGACCTTGACCTACACATGCCATTTTTAAATCAGTATAATGTGCACAACCTGTACACAGTGAGCATGTCTGAATACATGGATCAGTGCACAATAAAACCAAAGCTCAACCATTTCTAGGAAGTGCCTTAAGATTCAAAGGGAAATTGCAGCAAGACTGCAGTAAAGAAAAGTCAGGAAAGATTTTTAAAAAAATGATAAAAGTACTTTCATCCAACTGATGAAAAGAGCTAAAACTCAGCACACTAAAGTTAAACACAGCACATGTCTAAGAAAGCCTGCATGGAGCTAATGTAAATGCTGATCAAGTTGTAGGGGGACGTGTCCTTGATCCACTTAGGAGACACTTCCTACGTGCTGATAATGCAGCAACAAGTGTGGCGAGGAAGTCGTTGTCGTGCAGATTTTCGACACCGAGAGGTACTTGACAATGAGTGGTGTAGCTGAGGTCGCATAACCATCCAGTATCAAAACCGTGCCCGAGTCCCCAAGGTGTACATACACTAGTTTTTCATATCTCAGCGTAAGCAGGTTTTATAATTTTCACTTTTGGTGCTTTGGGCCATTGGATTTTATTTGTTCACGTCCAGATCATTTTTCATCATAGAAAAAGAAGCGGACCCTTTCCATTTAGTTGTGCGTGATAGATTGGGGTTGCCTTTTTTTTTTTTAATTATATAAACCATTGTTGTTTAAGCCTTACCATATATGGCTCTGTTGTTTAAAAGTAGTATGGTGAAGAAGAAAGGTCTAAAACAGGAAATAATAAATTGAATGTATGATGTCTTTCTTTTGATTAATACCAGACATTTGATTCTTAACAGCATAATTTAAAGCAAATCAAATCCAATGTGAATGAAAATTCACTTTGATTTTGGGTTTTGGCTGTCAGATCTCACGTAGGTCACACGTTTTCTAAGCCTGGAGAACACTGAGCAGACTATGAGAGTCTTGTGAGAAAAGGGTATGTGCGGATATCTTAGCACAGTGCTGGGGACTTAGCAGGTTGGTTGTGTACCTGGTGCGATCCACATTACCCATACCTTATGGACCTGCTGTGTCTTTCCCTCTTTCCATGGTAATTCCTTTCTTTTTTCTGCAGTAATCACCAAGGGTCTTCCATGGCCCCACATCATGCCCTTTAACATTCTGACTTTATGTCAGTAGGTGGCAGTTCTTCAGCTTCTTTGCTGCTCCAACCACATCTCTGTGCCTGTGGATCCTCTGTAACTCCTGGTTCACTCGCCCCATCTTCATATTATTTAACAAGTTAACAACACCCAGGTCTTCATCAGTCACTACCGTGTTCCTGTAAGTCACGTTCAGCCCCATTACAGTAGGTTTTCTGGAGCTTCTGTGAGATTGGTTCCAAACATCAGTGGCTCATAGATCATTTTATTTGATACACATGTCTTAGGTGGAACATACTTTATAGACTCCTGAAGACTCAAGGTGATTAGCAGCTTCATCAACAGACTAAGAATGCCAGTAGTTCTCATTCCACCTTCCCAACTGCCCAGACCCTCCCGACAGCTTTCCCTGACTGTGAATATTTACCCTGCCATCTTTTCCAACTCACAGGAACAAATAATACTGTTCTTCTCTCCCAGAGACTGCAGGCAGTTTGAGTATTCTCTGCAAATGATCAGAACCTTCCTGATCCTGAGGATTCTATGTGTCAAGCAAGACAGGCTAGGAGAGAATTTGTCACATCGGGCAGCTTTCTCCCATGTGGTCTGCAATTGTAATGCTGCTGCATTGGGCCTCATGTCACTTTTATGTTAGCATCTTTGTGCTCCTTTTTTGTGGCTAAGAAATTTGCAAGATATGACTCCTCCTTGGCCAACAGTCAGTGAAGAAACTTTGGGGGCGTATTAAATAGCTTACAAAAGGAACTCTCCTTCCAGTGACAGCGTAATATCTACACATTTAATCAGATAGACAAGCCTTTTCTTTATGCTTTCTGTAGCAGCTAGGTAGAAGCTTTGAAAATGAGTCCTCTCTCTACTTTCCAAACTAAATCTTTATTTTTACTCAAGGCATTGTCTAGATCTGTTCTTTAGGAAGAGTGTGCTCATTTCTTTTCCTAATCAGAATGTATTTTCTTTTTCTTCCACTAAATCCAAAGAATATTACTTATTCAACTATTCCTCTTTGACTTGAGAAGAATGAGCAAGTATGTGGTTTGTATGTGTATCCACCTTACTGGTGAAACTTCTTTCCACTAGACTGCGGCATGATTGGAAATGAATCAGAAAGATTCAGTATTAGAGTTTCAGCCAGGTGCTGCTGTTTCTTGCTATAAGAGAGTGTGCTGTAAGAGAGAAGAGAACAACCTAAAGAGGAAACAAAAAAAGCAAATGTCTTTGCATCATACCCTATCAGATACACACCAACCACAAGCCTTGCATTTGTATCACAGAGGAGCATGGAGGAACCTCAGCTACTTCTTCTGGCTCATGATCCTGCACTCTTTGCTGCTCTGTAGCAGAGTACAGTTTTCAATTTGGTCATGTAGCACTGAGAACCAGGCAGCATTTAAATCATGCCATTTATTCTTAAATAAGCTTCTAAGTCTCTGGGACAGAGAAGGTCTTTGCAGGTGCTGAGCTTGCTCACCTTCATGCTTAACAAGAGATCATTGTCTATTAACCTACTTAGGAAGGAGTGTAAAACTAAAATTACCCAAGTAATGATGGGTTAGCTCCCATCTAAATACACATTTATTTTCTAAGACCCGTGCAGTATGTGGTGTCCTTGGACTTTCAAAGTCATCTTTCATAGTGTTTCTTCTGCAGTTTGTCTGATGCATAATGTCCGCTCTCTGTTCTTTTCATATTGTTTTGGTCCCCTTTCATTTTATCTAAAGACCACATGCTATTAGATACTATCTTGTACATAGTTGTCTTTATTCAACTTTTCTCACACTTTATGGACTTGTTTTCCTTTTTATTCTGGGGATGAAACATCCAAATGTATTTCCCTACTTCAGAGTTATTCTTTCAAACATTACATGAATATGTTTTCTAGGCACCAACATTCATATTACAAGTATGACATTTTTGCTTTAAAAGTCCTTGTCTTATAAAGGTATTTGTCAATTTGAGAAAATATTTTATGGGACACCTAATTATCCTTATTCTTATTACTAAGTGAAATTCTTTTTCATTTAGTTTAATGTTGAGATCAGGTTTCACGTAACTCAGGCTGGCCTCAAACTCACTATACAGTACAGGATGACCTTGTTCTTCTGTTTCTATTATTTTGACCATCAAAATGATGGGATTAGAGACATACACCACAATGACCAGTTTATATGGTGCTAGGAACTGAACCAAGGAATTTGGGTGTGCTAAGCCAGCACTCTACAGACAGAGCTACAGCAAACCCAATATTTTGCATTTTTATTCTCAAATGCTTTATTATAAGCAAAATATGTTCAACTAGTGTCAATTCCTTCTGTAAAGGTGAAATTTCAGTGATTTCCTTTCAAGTCAAACCTTTCTGGCATTATATATTTCACTTCGCTGACTGAGTAATATTAGTTTATTTCCAGTTAACTTGTTTATGAGGAAACTTTCCAATTCAATGAGCACAAATTGTGGTTTAAATTGATATGGATTTAGACCACATGACATTGATAAGTTGCTTTGTCATTTTATGAAATATTCTGACATTGTTTTAATTATTGTCTGTATCCATTCCATGATGATAGGTTTCGTTATTCTGTTCCTTAGATGGACTGATAAACACAGCTTTAGAATAATTTTCATACTGTCACATAGTAAGTACCCTGCAGAGCTGGTACCAAATCCAATATTAGCTGATTCCTAGCGATGAATATGTTCCATCATATATCATCCTAGAGTTTACTCTCTTATACATCTACTTAAATTCCAAGCGTACTAGTTACTTTTTCTCTTATTGTATAAAACATCATTACCATGACAACTTCTAATAAAAAAGAGTTAAGTTAGAGAAATTCAAGTCCGTCATGGTGGGGAGGCATGTCAGCAGAAGCATGGAAACCCAGGCATGAAGCTCACATCGTTCTTTTTATTATTTTTCCAAGGTGGGGTTTCTTTGTGCAGCCTTTGCTGTCCTGGAACTCACTCTGTAGATCAGGCTGGCCTTGAGCTCACTGAGATTCACCTGCCTCTGCCTCCCAAATGCTGGAATTAAAGACGTGTGCTGCCACCACCAGGCCTGGAAGCTCACATTTTTAAAGGCAATTACAAAGCAGAGAGAGCTTGTTAGAAGTGGGTAGGGTTTTTACTCTAAAAAGCGCACTCCCGTGACATATTTCCTCTAGAGAAGCTGTACCTCCCAAACCTCTTAAAACAGCGTGATCAGCTGGAGACTGAGTATTTGAATGCCCAAGACTCTTGGAGACATTGCTCATTGAAACCATGATACCAAGCAAATCTTAAAAGTAGCTAGTTTAAAACTCGGGTACAGAGCTTAACAGAGAATTCTCAACAGAGGAATATTGAATGACACAGAAATATTCAACATCCTTAGTCATCAGGGAAATGTAAATCAAAACAACTCTAAGATTCCATCTTATACCCATCAGAATGACTAATATAAAAAAAACTCAAGTGACAACACATGCTGGAGAGGATGTGGAGAAAGGGGAACCGTACTTCATTGCTGGTGAGAGTGCAATTATAAACCACTTTAGAAATCAGTCTGGTGCTTTCTCAAAAAATTGGGAATAGCACTATCTCAGGATCCAGCTATACTACTCCTGGACATATACCCAAAAGATGCCCCACCATTTAATAAGGACATTTGCTTAACTATGTTCATAGCAGCTTTATTTGTAACAGCCAGAATCTGGAAACAACCTAGATGTCTTTCAAAAGAGGAAAAATGGATGCAGAAATTATGGCACATTTGCACAATGGAATAGTACTCAGCTATTAAAAACAAGGAAATCATAAAATTTTCGAGCAAATGGATGGAACTAGAAAAGATCATCCTGAGTAAGGTAACCCAGAAACAGAAAAACAGACAGGGTATCCTATATATATCCTGTATATAATATGGGATAGCCATACTAAAATCTACAGATCTAAAGAAGCTAAACACTAAGGAGGACCCTATGGATAATGCTTAAATCTCATTCAGAATGGCAAACAGGATAGATACCAGAAGCTGTGGAAGAGAGGAAACAGGATGGGTGCTTACTATAGAGGGTCCACTCAACAGGGGATTGAAGCAGATGCTAAGACTCATAACCAAACTTTGGGCAGAGCTCAGGGAGTCTTGTGGAAGCAGAGAGGAATAGAAGGACATAGAAGGACAAGAGCCCCGCAAGGAAACCAACAAAGCTAAAAATTCTGAGTCCTGGGGATCCTGCAGAGATTGATGCACCAACCAAGGACCATACATGGAGAGGACCTAGAACTCCTGCTCAGATGTAGCCAATTGGCAGCTCAGTCTTCATGTGGGCTCCTGAGTAAGGGGAGCAAGGGCTGCCTTTGTCATGAACTCAGTTGCCTGCTCTTTGATCACTTGCCCCTGGAGATGTGGTCTTTCCAGGCCACAGAGGAAGAAGATTCAGGAAATCCTGTTAAGACTTGATAAGCTATAGCAGATGACAGAGGAGGAGAACTCCTCCTTTCAGTGGACTAGGGGAAGGGGATGGGGGGAAGAAGAAGGAAGGGTGGAGCTGGGAAGAGTTGAGGGAGGGGGTTTCAAACAGTATGTATAATGAATAAATTATGAAAATACATATATTAAAAAACCACATAGTGATTTGAGTCTAAGTGGTTCCTTTTTCTAAATATAGTTATAAAAATGTATTGTGTCATTTATGTCATTATATAGCATTATACCATTTATATCATGCTTTATTTTTCCAGTTTATAATTTTCTGACCTTGTTTTCTCTGTGTTTATTGACATTAGTTATGTTTCTGATGATTTCTGATTTTGCTCCACTTTCATTAACTTTTGACTACTGTAATGTGTCCTTTTTGACCTTTCTAGGTTCCCACCAGCATTCATCAACATCATATTCAAAAGACTAAAATGAAAGCAGATGAAAGTAACTCCTTATTTTAGATGCAGTTATGAAAGGACATTTCCTGGAGGCTAGGACAAACTGTATTTCTGACATCACAGGAGAGTTACTTCCATCTTCTTGGGTTCTGCAGTAGCTTAGTAGACAAGTTCTGCAAGAACATCCCTCACAGAGGGCCTCTGAAAGCTTCTGCAGTATAGACTGTCAAAGCAGATGCTGAGCCTGATGGCCAACTGATGGGCAGAGTGAATGGAATTTTATGTAAGAAGTGGGAAATAGTAAGAGCTGGAGGGGACGGGAACTCCACAAGCAGAGCAACAGAACAAGATAATTTGAACACAGGGAACTTTCCAGAAAATCATACTCCAACCAAGGACTATTCGTGGAGATGACCTGGAACCCCTGCACAGGTGTAGCCCATGGCAGTTCAGTGTCCAAGTGGTTTACATAGTAATGGAAAGAGGGACTGCCTCTGACATAAACTGATTGGCCTGCTCATTGATCACTTCCCCCTGAGGGGGGAGCAGCCTTACCAGGCCACAGTAGAGGACAATGCAGCCACTTTTGATGAGAACTGATAGACTAAGATCAGAAAGAAGAGGAGAACCTCCCCTATCAGTGGACTTGGGGAGTGGCATGCATGCAGAAAGGGGAGGGAGGGTGGGATCGGCAGGGGAGGAGGGAGGGGTTTATGGGGGGATACAAAATGAATAAAGTGTAATTAAAAAAAAATTTAAAAAAAAAAGAACATCCCTCATTTGTTTATCCTCAGAATTCCTCCCCAAACACTGACATGGAACATGTCCATTTCTTTCACTTATGTGACCACACTTATAAATTCTTCAGCTGATGTTTATGTCATAGTTTACAGCCTCTCTAAAGATGAAGTCTACACCATGACATAAATTTACCCAAAAATAACTTTTTTCCAATTGTTTGGTGGTTGATTCAATTATTTTAAATGGTTTCTGCTCGTTTTCTCCCAAATCACAGTGTTTGCCACATATTAAAATTGTAATACCACTTACCTTCTGCTGTCAGAGACTGACTTGGCAACAGTACTTATTCTTATAAAATAACTTCAGCAAGAGTGCATTTTTATTCCATGACACAATAAATAATAAGAAATTCAAATATGACAATTTTAATATCACATATATTCCTCTAGTTTAGTATATAAATCTCGATTAGTAGGCAATAAAATTTTAAAAATAAAGTTGATATTAAACATCAAAACTGTACTGGAATATTCTTAAATCCATTAATTTCAATAATTTATTGCAAAACTATTACTTCATAAAATATTCCTCAAAACCTACACTTTCCCATCAGTTTTAAGTAGACAGATGCAGTTAGCAAGTTATCTGTGTTTGAGCTGCCACCTTCAAGGTTCATTGAGAGCTGTTTCCTGAGAATGGGGGCATACTTTCGTCCATGGTTTTATCATCTTACATTAATTACATCTTTGGTCAATCTAGAAGCTACTCTACTGGGACTAAGTTGCAACTTTTTCTCAGTGTCTTCACTCCAGGACTGTCACCCTATGGATAAAATGGAATTATAGCAATGCTTCTTCATTATGTCACTTCCATGTGGCTGACCAGATGCCAAGAAATTTTTTTTAATTGGGAGGAATAGATACATGATAAATAGTGACCTTTCTTATAAACAGACAAAAAGACAGACAGACAGATACATGATAGAGACCTCTCTCATAGGCAGACAGACAGACAGATAGATAAATACATGATAGAGACCTCTCTTACAGATAGACAGACAGAGAGAAAATAGACAGAATTTTGTTGTTGTTGTTGTTAGAAAAGTCTACTATAACCAACATAAGAAAAAACAGAAATAGCAGAAAAATCCGGAAGTGCTGGTGGAACTCAAAGACAGAAACTATGTCCAGGTTTCACGATGGTCAGGAACAAGAGTGACAGGAACAGAAGTCCCAGATTTTTCTCATTGTCTCCTGTGCACAAAATACTCATGCATCTGGCTCAATCTTATGCCCAAGGTGTCTTGCTTTCATCTCAAATTACCAAGACAGACTTTGGCTCAGAAAGGAAGATGTCTTTACCCCTTATATTACTACAGCGAAACATCAAAGGCAGTTAACCTTATAAAGAAAAGGGTTTTATTTAGCTTATAATTCTGAAAGTTCAAAGCCTGGACAGTTATGACACAGGCTTTCCCCGCCTATGCTACCTCATATCAGAGAGCAATGCAGAGGTTCACGTTAGAGCAACTGATCACATCTCCAGCCAGGAGACAGAGGGTGCAGTCAGTTTTGTTCCTATTCATGACTGTCATCCAAGAGTTAACAAGCAGTCACATGAGAAACTGCTTAATCCCTTCTGACAGCAACACTCTCAGGGATTAAAGAATTTTTCCTTACATTCCACTCCTAGAGGTTCCCGTGCCCCCCCCATACTGCCACCCTGAGGAGTAAACCTTAGCCCAGGGATCCCTCAGACCCCCTCAACTCATCTGCAAATCACACCTTCCCTATTCAATTAACAGTAGTCTTTGTGGCTTGATCAAATTTGTGAATTTACAATGAGACTTAGCTCCCCTCAGAACACTTCGTGAGATATTTTAAAAGGGGTATTTTAAAATTTCTAATTTGCACATTTTTAATATTTTTCAGTTAAAATGTACAGATACTCCGAAGACTACATTCCAAGGTATGTTAAAACTGAATAACATAAAAAAACCTGAATAATGAATTATGATTTTCAACTAATAAGGATAGTAACAAATGCTATATAGCTTATAGATTTGTCAGAGACATGACCACTTGGGCTAAAGGAAAATGAAAAGTAAATTATGATTACTGAAGATTGGAAGCCATAACATTTTCATCCATCCCAGTTATTAATCCATCAAGTTAATCAAAGGGCTGAGTGAAGAATAAAAAGACAGTGTAGCCTGTATCTACAAAACTCTCATTGAAATCTAATATAGATATCAATATTATAATGAAGATGAAACATTAAGAGCACAGTTTAACTTCTTATAAGATCATATAGCACTTCAGACTGTAGAGCAGAAAGCAGTCTATAAAACCTCCTAAGACTTAAGATGTTACCAGACTAGATGGATCATTCCAGAAATCCCAGCAGTGGAAAGAGTGAGACAGAAAAGAGCACAAGATTATGGCAAGCCTAGGCTGCAAGTAGTTAATTTCGAGGCCAGCATGGGATATATAGGGACATTGTCTCAAAAAATAAACAAAACAAATAGAAAAGACACCCATGTATGAGTGTGCAGGCACGTGTGAGCATGTGTGCGTGCGTGCGAATGCATGTGCGCGCGAGCACACACACACACACACACACACACTCAATGGCATGGTATCTATAAGGATGATTTCAATCAATAATGAAATGTGATGAATTGATACTGTGAAATAATATTTAATTCCAGCATCTCGTTAATATTTCTTGGCTTAGTTATAGAGAAAGTGTAATGCACACTTTTCATTTTTTGATTTTTGAGAAAGGTTCTCCTACATAGCCATGGCTGTCCTGGAACTCACTATGTAGACCAGGCTAGCCTCACTTTCATAGAGATTGACTCGCCTCTGCTTCTCGGTTGCTGGGATTATAGACCACCATGCCCAGCTTGTACAATATATCGTTAAAAGAGCATCTGAAGCCATTTAATTTTTTCTGGATGATATATGATATCATTATATTGGATATCATTATATTGTGTATCATTATATTAGATATTTCATTTAGGGATGAAAATCCAAATAAGGAGGATTTCCAAAATGGTGACCTTAGAAACCTTTGAACCAGCTTTCTAGCTGGACAGGACAGCGCAGGACAAGACAGGACAGGATTTAAAGCCCTTGGGCTCTAAGAGGTCTTTTATCATAGTTTCTACCCTGTTTAGAAATATCTCTTACAGATCCAAGACATGGTTGCAGATAGACTCTCTGCATACAAATTTTTGGAACTGTTCCTCCTACTGGAATCTTTAACTTGCAATAATTTCAGGCCATCAAGGATGATTTGCTGACAACAAATGAGAATGCTCATCTCTTTTCTGAGGAACTTGATTCTTGACGTTTGAAGGGCAATTAAGATACGACATGCCAGGTGTATCTTGGTGGCGGTACTAAATTTATTCCCAGGGCTAGAGAGGCAAGAAAGGAAGGTCTAGTCAGAGGTTTTGGCTTGCCTGGCTTGCATAAATCGAACCTACCCCAAAATTATAAAAGATAAGAAACAAAATGAAAAAGATACAGTGCCATAAAAAGTCTTATGATTTGATCATTTAGCTAAAGACTCAGTGGATGGCTTTGGTATTGGCCTGAAAAGGATTGGAAAGGAAAATTGGTTCAATATGCATCTCGATGTAAATGGGCTTTTATCTGTAGTATAGGTAGGAATGAGGCCGGTTCTTATGTAACATTCATCCATTTAACAAATAATCAGTCAAGAATAAGCACTACACTAGGAAATTGTCAACTAAATTCACTGATTCCCAAAGAGTAAACTGCCCCTGCATGGAAGAAACTAAAAATCATCACCAAGAAGTTTAAATCATCACACAGAAGTTTAAATGCCCCAACCCACTGCATCTTGAGCTCCACTTTCTTACCTGCTGTGTCTTCTGAGGAAGACACTAATATGCACATGTTGTATGGAAAGAGTTTACCATTTACAATGCAGCAAGGGACAAAGAGACCTCCAGTTCATCGTGAGTGGTTCCCAGTGGCTAGGACAACTGCCTGGGGCAGAGCACCTCATCTGCATCTGTCATACGTGTAGAGGTACAAAATCAGAAATCAGCCAGTGTTTGCTTTTATACCCAAGAGGCTACATGACAACTAAAGCAGTGAAGGCTCCTGTCTCTAGAGAGACTGCAGCCAAGCCCAGGCTTTTCTCACCAGTTCCTCTTCATCCCATTGTGTTTCATCTTCTGCTGTGTACTCTGGTTATCCTTGAGAATTACAAATGAGACAGGGGTGTTCCAAAGTCACCTGGAGAACAGTCTTCCAAAAATAAAACTACAAAATGGAAAGAGTTAGATATTTCCTCAAAGATTTAATCATCTATTGCCTGTTAATAAATACCTTAGATATCCATTGCCTGCTGTCATTGTTCTCTCTTTATCCCTGCACTTCTTGTAGGCAGGGTAAATTTTTGGATCAAAGCTTTTGTCAGAGGGTTGTTGTTCCCCTCCTTCCACTAGTCCTGCCTGGCGAGGAGGTGGTCACTTCAGTCTTCATGTCTCCTCCTAGGAGTCTCAGCTAGAGTCACACCCATGTCCTCCCAGGATCCTACCCTGTTGCAGGCCTCCAGCTTGACAAGGAGATGTCCTCCCTCAGTTTCCCTTCTTGTTCCCAGCCTTCCCACCTCCCACCACCATTTTCCCCACATCTGATCCCAACCTTTTTTTCCTTCTCCATTCCATCGCCTACCCAGTTCCCTGTCTTCTGCTTCTGCTGTGTATTTTATTTCCCCTTCTGAGTGACATTCAGGCATCCTCCATTGGGCCCTCCTTGTTACTTAGCTTCCCTCTTCTGATGTTTATACTGTTTGCCCTTCTGAATGAGGATTAAGCATCTTCCCTAGGGTCCTCCTTGTTGTTTAGCTTCTTTAGAACTATATATTTTAGTATGTTTATCCTATATTGTATGGCTAATATCTACTTACAAGTGACTATATACCCTGTGTGTCATTCTGGTTCTGGGTTACCTCACTCAGGATGATCTTTTCTAGTTCCATCCATTTGCCTGCAAATTTCATGATTTTCTTGTTTTTAATTGCTGAGTGATATTCCACTGTGTAAATATATCACAATTTCTGTATCCATTCCTCGTATGAGGGACATGTGGGTTGTTTCCAGCTTCTGTTGAATGGTGGAGCATCTTTGGGGTATATGCCCAGGAGTGGAATAACTGGATCTTGAGGTAGCACTACTCCCTATTTTCTAAGAAAGCACCAGGCTGATTTCCAGAGAGGATGTGCAAGTTTGCACTCCAGTCAGCAATGGAGGAGGGTTCCCTTTTCTCCACATCCTCTCCAGCATGTGTTGTCACTTGAGTTTTTTATTTTAGACATTCTGGCTGGTGTAAGATGGAATCTTAGAGTCACTTTGATTTGCATTTCTCTGGTGGCTAAGGACATTGAGCATTTCTTTAAGTGTTTCTCAAAAAAATTAAAAATAGTTTCTTATTCCAGTGAGAGTCCCGTGCATAAAACTAAATTTTTGTTCATAAGTGGTTATTAACTGGGAACAGATTCTGGATTAGGAATGAGGACGTGTGTCCACTAGTTCTTTAGCTCTAGGACACCATCTGGTACAGACCCATATAGGCCCTGCACATGCTGCCTCAATTTCTGTGAATTCACGTCTGTTGATCCTCTTGATTTAGAAGGCTGTGGTATCCTCCATCCCCTTTGACTATTGTGCTCTTCCTGCCTCCTCTTCAGTGGGGTTCCCTGATCCCTGAGAGAAGGGATTTCATTTAGGGCTGAGTGTTCTAAGGTCTCTCACCCTTTGCATATTGTCTGGTTGCGGGTCTCTGAATTAGTTTCTATCTGCTTCAGGAGGAAGCTTCTCTGATGATGGCTGAGCAAGGCACTGATCTGTGTACGCAGGAAGATGTCACCAGGAATCATTTTATTACTATGTTCTTGTAGCAGAACAGAAATATTTAGTTTTATTCTAGGACGCTGAGGCATCTAGTCTCAGGGTCTTGGTCACCCAAGCAGCGTAGGCCATTGGTTCCATCTTGTGGAGTGGGCCTTACCTCAAATCAGATTTTGGTTGATTCCTCCCACAACCTTGTGCCACCATTGCACTAGCATGCCTTGAAGGCAGGGCACCATTGTGGATCAAAAGGGTTGGTGCTGTATTCGTGTTTACGTTACTCCCAATGCCTTAAAACAGCTTTATTAGTTTTGTAGTAATAACTTACCTTTCTCTCTGAATATTGGGACCCTATATTATATCATGAAATTTGGAGGCTGAGAAGAATTAAGTAGTTTTAATACCATTGGTTTGCAGACAATGCAGTTAGAACTTGTAGATTCAGGTAGAAGCAATGTGTTTTTTAAAGGGTAATTTTTAAAAATCTGCTTAGATCACAAAACATTTGAAGTAAATAAAATAAACACATTTTACAATAATATATTTTACAAATTTCAAGAGTCTGTAAATACACCTAGTGGCTATGGTCTCTCTTGAGACATGCCCAGAGCAAGCATCTGATTTGACCCCAAACTCTGGCTAAATTATTCTCTCAGCATACGCTAACTTATTAACTTTCTTCAAAAAATAATCATTGTCTTTGTTGGGTATGTAACTCAGAGGAAGAACACATCCTTAACATGCACAAGACCTGACATTTGATTCCCAGCTTTGCAAAGGAAAAAAGAAACCCAGCAATTACTGTAATCTTCCACATAAAACATTGCTAAACATTTGTTGTTGAAGTTTATTACATGTCTGCAATAAGATGGAGCTATTTGGCATTGCTAAGTAAAGACACGCTTTTTAATTTGTTCGTTAAGCAGCTGCTCTTGAATAATAGTTTATTTGAGGTGATTAATCACTTGAGACCTGCCTGCAGACATGGGACACTGCATTATAAATCACATCTTATTTTCATTCATAGGGAATAGAGTGATATTCATTTTTTTGGACATGATTTATCATTTGCAGGTTGTGGCTGCTATCTCTGTGGGCTGGGAAAATGGATGGCTTGTCTTATTAAAAGTCTTCACCTTTTGCTATAATATTTTCTGCATATCCAGAATAAAACCATGCTCAAGTTCCAGTATTAAGGCGTAGTGGATGGAAAGAACATTATTTCAGATGAGTTTATTCACCATCAGTTAAGTGAAATGTGAGCCAACACCTGGACTTTTCAAGCCATTTGTGCGGGCATCTTCTGAACTGTTATTTGTTTAAGGAGACCTGCTTAGTATTTATATATATTCTGCCTTCTTTAAGAAGGTTGGGAAACACTTTGGTGTCACACCTTCAATTGAGTTCCTTTTTCTTTGGATATAATTCCTTCCATGTCTCTGTGATATGTAATCTCAAAATGAAAGCAGTTGGTCCTGTTTCATCAAATGCCACTTGCTAAGTGATATGCTCCTCTGTTCCTATCCTGCCAATATAAAATTTATTTATCAGGGCCATTGTCATAAACATGATATTAGTAGGACAATCTGGAAATTATGGTAATGTATTTACTGTAATGATAGCATTATTCACATAAAGCAAGAAGAAAATTTAATCAAATAACAAGAACCAATACTCTTGTATCTCTGTTAGTTATCATAACTAAAGAGGCAGGAAACTATGTTCTTTATATGACCTTCTAGACTTTTTCCCTAAAATCTTTGGATTATGTGTCTTTCTGCTTGACTTCCTTAGAATACAGTAGAGCATAGGACTTTCCAATCAAATTTACATTGTGATCCTAGCTGTGTTATTAATTTTCATTTATTAGTTAACTAGTTATTACTTAGTAATTATATTTTACTAAGCATAAAGTGGATTTTATCTAATAAAAAATTATTTCCCCTGTTATAGAGTTGATGAATATTATGTTGAAGATACTCCAATTTATGGTAACTTAGATAATATTATCCCAGGTAAGTTTTGTTTTGCTATAATTAAATATGTCAAAAACCTAATTACTTCTACAAACAATTTGATGTGTCTCTTTTTAGAAACCATCACAGTTAGAAGCCATACATTAGATCTAGTATATTATATAAGATATGTTTGCAAGAGCCACACTATAAATTACACTGTGATATTCAATGCAAGCCAACAGTCCCTGTTTTTTATGAGCTCTTTATTTCATTCTTGTGTAACAACAATACACTAGTAAAAACAATATAAGGTTTAATTTTTATGAATTTTGACACACAGAAAATTCTATAATATATATCCATTTCGAGGGGCGTAGGAAAAAAGAAATAAATCCATTGCTAGAACAGAATATGATCCACAGAAACAGTATTTTGTGATCTGTATATAGAACCATGACTACAGTTAATGAACACTTTCTCCAGTTTACTTTGTTTTAACCTGTTCTGTTTAACTGAAGAACCTGGGGCTGGATTGATAGCATGTGGGGAGAAATGAGAACCAAGTGGTTTGTGGCTTTATTTTTCTACAAGTGTTCTCCACTTGAACCTTCTTTCAAAATGAAACACTGTAAAGTCCTCAACCCAAGCAGCTGGGATACAAGGTCACGGCTGAGTTCATGAGTGGGGTCTCTGGGTTTATTTTCCTTGCAGATCTTTGAGTCAGACACATTTTCTGTGATCCAATAATACCATAATATTTACACATCCAAAAATTTTTACAGTTAGAGATATGTGAACTTTATAAGATTCACAGATTTAACTCAGTCCTTTTTCCCATTATGAATGTCCACTAACTTTCTGCATTGTAACAAACCAGAAACTATTAGAAATATTAAGATAATGCTCCCTCTTTTTCATGTGGCAGAATTATGATCCATCCTATTTAAGTTCTTATGAATTCTAATGTCTCAGGGCCCACTAGATATGTAATTTGAAAATCTACCACAGAGGGCCTCTGAAAGACTCTGCCCAGCAGGGTATCAAACCAGATGCTGGGATGTATAGCCAAACTTTGGGCAGAGTGCAGAGAATCTTATGAAAGAAGTGGGAAATAGAAAGACTTGGAAGGGACAGGAACTCCACAAGGAAAGCAACAGAACCAAAAAAAAAAAAAAAAAAATTCTGGGCCCAGGGTTTTTTTTTTCTTTCTGAGACTAATACTCCAACCAAGGACCATGCATGGAGATATCCTAGAACCCCATGAGCACAGATGTAGCTCATGGCAGCTTAGTATCCAAGGGGCTCCCTAGTAATAGGAACAGAGACTGTCTCTGACATGAACTCAGTGGCTGGCTCTTTGATCACCTCTCCCTGATGAGGGAGCAGCCTTACCAGGCCACAGAGGAAGACAATGCAGCCAGTCCTGATGAGACCCAATAGGCTAGAGTCAGAAGGAAGAGGAGGAGGACCTCCTCATCAGTGGACTTGGAGAGGGGCATGGGAGGAGATGAAGGAGGGTGGATGTGACCGGGAAGGAATGAGGGAGGAGGCTACAGCTGGTATACAAAGTGAAAATAAATTGTAAATAAATAAATAAATAAATAAATAAATAAATAAATAAATAAATAAAATAGTCCTGGGAGGGAGGGGCTTTGTAATCTGAGATGGTCCCAGGTTTTCTTCTGTTTTAAACTATGGCAAATAATTCTACTATTATTTAATATGCAATTGTACTCCTATACAGAAAATAAAATACTGCTTAAAATTTAAAAAAAGAAAACCAAAGTATACCAGGTGCTTATTTCCCAGACTCTGCCCTCTCATGCTCTGGGCTGGGTTTAGAAATCTGCTGCTTAACAAACAAATACAAGATTATGGTGCTAGTTTCATATGGACTGTGATTTGAGAAACACTACTCTATGGATTCCCATGTTTCTTTTCAGAAAGAATAGAAAGATTATTAGGTATCTTTTGGTATAATAATTATATCTTCCTCTCTGAGGCCAAATTGGTGCATTGTACATTTTTGCCAGGTAAGTAGGCCACTCTATGCAGGCATATGTAGAAATATGTTTGTGAGAATAATTATACAGACTAGGATGGTTCACTAAGCATGATGGATGAAGCTGGTACGAATATGCTGGCTTTTAAATACCACACAAAAGCTCCAGATCCTTGAAATGGCATTGAACAATCTTGAGATCTTAGGACAGTCCTGTTTAACTAAGATCCCACTGATGGATGTAGCACAAATAATAGTCTGAAAAAGAATTTTAATCCAGTAACATGTCTGCTCTGGCAAGGAATCTCATTAGAAGACCTTCTAGGGCTGTGTGATCTAGATGGAATACAGACACTCTCAGGATTACAGTATGATGTGTTTATTCCCAAACCATGAAAATAAGGTTAGCTTGTAGAAGAAAGCAGCCATGTTTGAAAGTTACATCTAATTGAAGGGCAGATAAAGTGATGATTCAGAGAAAGATCTGATAGAATGAGTCAGAGATAAGATACACCCAGCTCTCACAAGAACAGTCAGGAAGGGAAAGGTACTGTAGAGCAGTGCAGTATGGGGTGTGGAGTATGGGGGCAGTTTTAGTGGGACAGTTTTACAAAACAGATGGCAGAGAGAACAAGATAGACACAGGTGAAGACAGAACAAGCCAAAGAATGAGAAGGTGCCAGAAGATTAGAACATATTGCCAAAGTTAGTATAAGGCCAAGCAGCGCAATCAGTCAGAAGCCAAGAAAAGCTGGCTTGAATCAGTAAGCTTGGAAGATTAGATTGCACAATGGCTAGAAGGTTTCAGGCCTAAGTCAAGGGATAATTAGAACAGAGAAAGAAATGCCCTGGGCTCAGTCCAGGCCACGTAGGAACACATCTTGGTTAGGGCTCTCATCTCTCCATCTTAAGAAATAAGAGTAACATTTACAAGAATCTAAGTCATTTTATTCAAAATTAAAATGAGGTGTTCTGAATACCTCTGAAAGTAACATCTTATTCATGGAATGAATTACAAAACGGTAATCATTGATGGATGATGCTCCAAGTACCTTGCTTTATGCCAGTGTTCCTTGTGCAGGCACACCGTGTAGCAGATTACATAAGCAACACTTTAACTCTGTCATATCTGTAGATCATCTCAAATAGTAGATTAGATGAGACTTCCACATACTTCTGTGGAACAGAAAATCTCTATGACACAGTCTACATCTTGAGCTTCTTTATGTCATTGATGTGTGGGGGAAAGACTTTTCTGTCTGATCTGCAGGTAACAGTTTGTCCTTTCATAAACTCTTTGCGTGCCCATCTAAAAGACTACTTAAATAATTCTTGAGGTTATATATTATTAGCTAAGTATTATTTGGATCAGGCATTTTATTTATACCAGCACTTTTAATTTTTTTTTCATGGAAATATCAATCTCTTCTGCTCCCAAGAACCAGTGGAGGAATGCTGCTACGAACAGATGAAAGCTCGACCACAAAGATCTGCAGGTGATTCACATGAAGCGGCTGCATCTGAACAGGTGAGTTTTCTGCACGAGTTAAGTGTACTCCAGTGCAAAGCACCAGGACATGTTTCAAGAGCACAGAGAGTGTTTTATGATATACGTTCAGAGTAGCCTGTTCAAAAAATTGCAGCATGGATCACATGTCAGGTCCTGAGACAAACCCTACAGGGAAATACAGAAGCAAGAATAAAACTGAAACCATACCCAGACATTCAAAATTAAGTATGGTTCAAAGGACAGTAGATCCTGTCTGCATATACATACATATATATACACATATACGTGTACAGCAACAAATCTGCACGCATGCTTTGAAAGCATCAAAAAGTTCAGTTAAAGTACTACTCTTTCTTCTTCAAAATCTTTTCTCTTATATCCTTTCAGTACTGCCTAGTAATACTAGGGATGACAATTCCTAGACAATCATGTGAGTCTTGTTTCATGTACCTCACATGCATTATCTACTTAGATTCGCATGAGAGAACAGGAGCTTCACAAGGACCAAATATATTTGGGCACAGGGGCTTGACTGAGACGGATTCTCCAACCAGAGACCATTCATGGATATAACCTAAAACCTCTGCTCGGACGCAGCCCATGGCAGCTCAGTATCCAAGTGGGTTCCCTAGTAAGGGGAACAGGGACTGTCTCTGGCATGAACTCTGTGGCTGGCTCTTTGACCTCCCCACTCCCTGTGAGAGGAGCAGTCTAGCTAGGCCACAGAGGAGGACATTGCAGCCAGTCCTGGTGAGAGCTGATAAGCTAGGGTCAGATGGAAGTGGAGAAGGACTTCCCCTATCAGTGGACTTAGAGAGGGGCAGGGAGGAGATGAGGGAGGGAAGGTGGGATTTGGAAGGGAATGAGGAAGGGGACTACAGCTGGGATACAAAGTAAATAAACTGTAATTAATATAAAAAATAAAAATTTAATTAAAAAAAGAAAAATATTGCAGAAGAAAAGAAGCTTGTCTTGGAGCACTCAAATACTACACAAAGAGACAGAATCTAAAGGTAGATCATCTTTCATATAATATTTTTGTGTATTTGGGAATTTCCCATTATAGTAGAATTTTTCTCCTTTTCACCACATGAATTTTATAAGAAATCAGACTTTTTTAACAATTCTTGGTCTTCATGTGGGACTCCTAACAGTGGGAGCAGGGGCTGTCTCTGACTCTGTTGCTGGCTTTCAGACCTTCTTTCCCTACTGGGCTGCCTGGTATAGCTTCAGTAGAAGTAGATGCACCTGGTTTAGTCTTACTGAAACTTGATGTGCAAAGTCTAGTTAATATCCATGGGAAGCCTCCTCATTTCTGTGGAGAAAGGGAAGAGGGGTGGATGGGAGAAAGGGCAGGGGAGAGGACTGTGAGGAAAGGAAGGAGAAGAAACTTCTATTGGGATGTAAAGTAAATAAATAAATTAGATAATTAAAAATTTTTAAAAATCAAGATGTGGTGATATTTGAAAAAAAAAGTCACCACAAATTTAGTTAGATACTTGATTAATTATAAAATTTGCTTTTAAGGGGATGGAGAAATGGCTCAGTGGTTATGTAAATGGTTATGTTTTATGTAAGACTGGGGTTCAGTTCCCAGAACTCACACTGGAGTGCTCCCAAAATACATGATATAGTATCTTCTGTTAAACACACAACAATGAATTTATGAAAGAAAAGCTCTTGAAGGTGATTAAGTTGTAATTACACCCTCTAGAAATCTTTTAGTTATAAATATACCAAGAATTCTCAATAGAAATTATGACTAAATACATGGGAATTGCACACAGTACCTTCGTTTGAACTGCATCTGGTTTTTACTCAAGTGGAAATGATGCAAAAATCGTGTAATATTTTGAGTCTGCTCTTTTATGAATTGTGTATTTAAAGATGCTATTCGGAAAACTAGTTTTTAATTATATTACATTCTTATAAATTTAGTTTCACACATTAGAGCCATCCCTTTCTAATTGCTCAGTTTCACTTTATCTCATAATCATGGCCAATTTGCTCCTCTAGTATTCTGCTACACAGATCAATCACAGAAGTGTAGGAAATCTACAATAACATGCATAAGCTGGAGGAAAAGAGGAATACGAGGGTCCTTCCCTTGTCCTTTGAAAAACAATATGTGTTTCAGAGACTGTAATTTGAATGTCTAGGTCTACATCAACAAATTTAGTCTTCTCGTAGGAGTTCATCAGAAAACCTAAGAATAATATTAGTCCCCAACTGTTCCCATATCCTGTAAACTTGAAGGATATACACATGTGATGCTCCATTGATTGATTGATTGATCTCAGATCAGTGCTCTGTCTCCTTAATCAAAAGCATCCTCTCCCTTCCCATACCAATACTTATTATGTTCTTCACTATTTCTCCTGAGTCTTTCAGACTCGTCCAACTTTGACTATTTTTCCTCTGTTTTCTTTCTCTTCCTAGAAATAAATCATTATTTGCCTAGCATGTATGTAAATAATCTCAATATTAAAAATAAAAATTTTAAAAACTTTCTTTGATGTGCTTTTCCCTATAATTTCTCAACTAGATGGAAATTAGATGGGTTCTTTCCATCCATTGTAGTTTCTGTTTCTTTCTAGAGACTCACATTCTTTTGCCCTTTCTTCTATATCCTCCTACTCCCAATTCACTCAACTGAACCAACATAGGAGGATTCTAAAGTATTTAATGTACATCTCTGATACTTCCTTGGGACTCACTTTTTTTTTTTTTTACCCTAGAACTGACTGATAAAATGCAGTAGCTATTGATCAGCCACATATTATTTGTAGTGATTTCTTATAAGTACAGATATCAAATTCCAAACACGTTGGAATAAAAGGGAAATTATAGCCTCATACAATAGACAGTGCACTTTGCTTTTGAGATGATTGAGGAGAGAAGCTCTCCTCATTCACCTCATGAACTTACGACTTCCTTCTATTCTGTTGTCGGCAGACTCCTCCAGGGAGGCTGGGCAAGCCACTAAAGGCCTGTGTATTTTTCCTCTTGACTCAAGGGAAAAATACCTTTTTTTTCTATTCTTGAGAGTAAATATCAACTTTAAAACCAAACATTCTTATTTCTGGCCCATTTTCTTGGGCCCTGTTGCCAGGACAATGGGAAATTGTTGAGAGAATATCTTGTGTATGTTTGAAAACTTCACCTGTCAAAAATAAATCTGAGGGCCTATAGCTGAAGCAGGAAATAGGAGGCAGGGCCTCCAGCAGGATTCTGGGGTAGAGCCAGGCCGGAAAGATTCAGTGGGCAAGATATGAGGAGTGTGGATGCATGGCATCTGAGGTGAGGAAACCAGCTACATGGCAAAATGTAACAGAATAAATGGGTTACTTTAAGTTATGAACTGTTCAGAGAAGAGCCTTGCTATATGACCAAGGTATTTGTAAAATCTATTTTGAGTCTCATGAGTCTTTAGTTTGTGAGCTTGGAGTAAGGAGGAAAAATGTCTGCAGCAGAGAGGTAATGGGAACTTGGTCCAGCTTAGGTCAGTTGCTTAGGCTTGTTAGACTTGGGTATAGCACTCCAAGTATCTAGAGCAGGATAGGGCAGAATTTACCAAAGAAGATGAGGGAGTTCCACAAAATACCAGGAAATCAACAAATAGCCCCTGTTCCATGACTCTAAGTGCAGTTCTCCAGCTTTTCACCTGTCTGCCCTGGGAAAGTCAAAGCAGATGACAGTACTAAATGTGTGTAGCAATGAATTGCCATGTTTGCCGAGATACAGAGCCGAGTAGGGGAGTACTGGATATCAAAACAGAAAACCTGAAATGGCAGAGGGTGAAATCCAAAGTTTAGTCCACAGGCTGTGATTCTGAAGTACAGATAGTAAAATACAAACATTGTATTTTAAAAAGATAATTTGAAAACAGTATATGGGTTGAATGGTGGAGGGAAAACATGAAAGTGAGGTTACCAGTTAGGGGAGCTATTAAGTTGTTTTTGTTTTTTTTTTTTTTTTAGAAATGCTTAAAGAATAGCAATCCTGATTTAAAAAACAAACAAACAAACAAACAAACAAAACTAAAGATTGTGTAAATGGAACCATCCCTTCTCCCTAACATGAAAACGCAAGACATTTCTCTTATACCAATAGAGATATACCTGGCAGATACTTCTACGCACTGGGACTTTGTTCATCCAAACATTACTTGCTCAGCCTCTGGCCTCACTGATTGATACGATTTTTGACCTTGTCTAGAAAGTATATCCTGAACATAGATAAGTGCACTATATTCAATGGAAATCCTTCTATTTTTAGTTTGAAGCATGTAATAATCATAATGCCATCTGCTTTGAACATTTACAGCTTCTACGTGTACTTTCTCTATTTACCAATCATTTCGACGCTCTGAGAGCCATATTACTGCTTTTTAAAAGTAAGGATGCTGAGACTGAGCTTGGTTTTAAGAAGCTGCCCAAGGCCCTGTACATAGTGCAACTGAGACTTAATCTGCAACACAGTCAAGGTCTGGGCCTCAGCCTGTCAACCTGTTGTTTCCCAGTGTTGCCTTAGTCTCCTGTCCTCACTGACACTGATGCAGCTCTAGGATAAAATGGAAGAATGACATGTTCCATGCTGTCTTAGATGTCGGTTCTGTAAAGAGATCTGTTTGCTTTATTGTTTTGTCTCATTGTTTGTTTTTGTCTTTTATTGTTTTGTGTTTTTTTATTGTTTTTGTTTTGTTTTGTTTTTTGAGAAAGGGTTTTTCTTTGTAGCCCTGGATGTCCTGGAACTTACTCTGCAGACCTATAGATCAGGCTGGCCTCTAACTCAGAGATTTGCCTGCCTCAGCCTGCCGAGTGCTGGGACTCTGTTTGCTTTATTCTTATGACTCTTTTAAAAATGTAAAATAAGAGGCAGAGGAAGGGTTTTGGGGTCCTTATAAAATATCAAATCACTAATTATTAAACACATACAAATCACACCTTATGATGTGTTAAATATCTCCCTATCATGTTTTTCCCCTCATAAACAAAACTTGGTAGGAATGCTGAAATGCAGGAACTACTTGAGGTGAAGATGAAGATAGAAAACAGTGAGAAATGATCTAAAATGTTCATGTAAGTTTTGATGACGGGAAATAAGATCCATGAAGCTTCATCTAAATACTTTTCTTTTTTAACTCAAAAGTCTTGAATTGATTACTGATTTGTTGTTGCTGATTTTAACCGTCAACTTTGGCAAAATAAGGTAACTAAAGCCAGAAGACAAATTATTTGATTTTCATAGACCATGGAAATTTATAGATGTCTTGGAAATTAAAGAATAGGCTAACAATAGAAAGACTAACATATCTGTTTTTCAGGTACCTGCCGAAACTCAGTTGTGCTACGCCTCACTGGATCACAGCGTCAAGGGGAAACACAGAAAGCCCAGGAAGCAGAATGCTAATTTCTCGGACCGGGAAAAGGATGTACAAGTTTATGCAGTGGATGCCAACATTTCTCAGATCAATTTGGTAGAAAGTTTCCCGCCAGATAACCAGGCAGTAGACGAAAGTATTCATGATGATCCTGCTCGGCTGTTTGGATTGATCCGTGCCAAGAGAGAGCCTGTCATCTAGCTGGACTGTGATCCAGCTCAGTATTAACACCCTATCAGAGATGGTGAGGGAAACAAGATCCTCCTGTGGCACACTAGGACTGGTAGGATGACAGTCTGCACATTTGTCTGTGGGATGGTAGCTTCCTTTCTTTCAGAGATTGCCTCTCACACACTATATCTAATGCCGTTAAAATTAGGTATATGAGTTCAGTTAAGAAAATCTCCAAGTCAGAAAAGTAAAATAATAAAATCCAGTTTGTAAATTAAATTACTTGATAACAAAGTCAGAATGTACAGTAACACCTAATGAGAACAATTTAAAAAATTTAAGTATGTGTGTGATCTAGGACATGTTGAATGAAAGTAAAAGCCAACATCTTTAAAAAATTTAATCAATCATTTCTTCTTTCATCAACATGAGTAAATAGTTAAAAGAAAGTTCTGATTGAAAGTACATTGCCAAGCAAACTAGAATAATCTTAAGAACTTTTCCAAAATGTAAATAACATCATTAGTTTAAGAATAAATTCATGTTCTTTGCAAAAATTTAAAAAAAATAAGAACTTAGATATTCTACTAGCCACAGATATTCAGTATGAATAACTTTGTGTTTGTGGATATTTTACTAGATATAACTATGCATATGTAGCAGTTGTTCCTTTTTTTTGTATTTTAACTTAAAAGTAGAGGATTATGCATTTTATTTAAGGTGTCTTTATGTATCAAGAGGCTGGCTTGATTTCTACCATATTAACTATATCAAAATGTATTTTGTCTTTGGTAATGCTGGGAAGAAAATACACGGTCTTTTACATGAAAGACAAGTGCTCTACCACTGAGCTCCAACCCAAGTCTGTCTCATAATTTTAGTGTCTGCATTGTATTTCATTTGATTAAATCAAAATTCATTTAAACAGTTTTGAAGACTACTTACATTAATTCATGCTTTTATTTTGTGTGTTCACGAATAACATTTTAATGAGAATGTTTCAAGACATGTCTGGAAACTCATCAAGTTTCTTCTTTTTGTTAGGTGTCTAGAAGGGAATTAAATATATAAAATATGGGTTTATGTTGTTAATTTCCATAGGACAAATCTCTGCAAGGTCAGAAATTGGCACAAAATATGCATACAATATAGATTCTAAGAGATTGCCACATTGTCTTCCAAACAGTTAACTCTATAAACTTGAGCTTGGCAAGAAGGTGCAAAGCTGTGATTCAAGCATGCAAGATGTTGAAGCAGAAAGAAAGAGCATTGTTAGTTCTAAACCAGCTGGGCCTGCAAGATGAATTCCTGGTCAGCTTGGGCTAAGAGTGAAACCATGTTTCAAAACAAACAATCAGAAACAAAATAACTTCTCTTACCCTCCATTGAGGAAGGAACCTTGATGGTACTCTGTAATAAACATCGCTAACTCTTCATAATCTATATTTTTTAAATGCTACTTTGACAGAGAAACTTTGACACAACATAGTTTTCTTTCTGGCTGTGTGCTATGGATTTTATATATATTACATTTTCATAATACACTAATTTTAAGTTTTGATACAGTTATATAATGTCCACCTTCCCTTTCCTTCCTCCTAAACCTCTGCATGCATCCCTCTTGCTTTCTGCCAGTGACCTCTTTTTCTTTAATTGTTACATATATGTATGTATGTATGTAATTGTAGAGCTTTACCTAGAGAAGACCATGTCTCCAACTCTCAGCATTCCCCAGTTACCCATGCATTTTGTCTAGGACTAAGGCCCTGCAAGCTTTCTCCTCTCCATGTTGGCATGTCCCTTGGCATCATCATTGTTCAGATCTTGTTTAGTCAGTCATGTTGATGAGACTTAGTTATTTTTATTTAAACTCACAATTATTTTTTAAAAAATATATTAAAATAATAAAAGTACCTTCATAATTTTTCATGCCATTAGAATATCTTGACATCTCGAGTTCTTTGTATCCATGCAGGATTCTGTCTTGTACCCCACATTTCAGCTTAAAGGATGTCTTTAAGTATTTATACAGTTCAGGTGAATAGTGATAAGACTCTCTTGGTATGCTGTGCATCTGAAAAAGGCATTGTTCTAATTTTTAGAGATACTGTCACTGGATAAAAAAAAATCCCAAAGTTGAGCTTCTTCAATCAATCTGAACTGTTGATTTTTTGGACACATAGATGCCATCCAAAAACTTCCCTATTCTGTTTAACTGTTGTGACTTGCAGAATCAAGTTGGCTACCATTTCCATCAAGCCATTAAGTCATCCTTGTAGATTTGAGAAGCAATACCTGTCCCCATCCTAACATTGTGGATGTATTTTTTACCCAATAAAATTTGAGTTTCAACCAGAGATCCATTCTCCTGAATAACAACGCGGAAGGGGAAGTGTGCACTCACTTCATCTTGTAATTGAACCCATTATAACAACCTTAATTGAACATGTCTACAGATAGTTTGGACAGTAGCCAGTTTTTTCCTGCTTCTCCACCATTTGTCAACCTGGAGCCTCTTCTTTTTCTCTTCAAGGAAACTCAGCTCCACACTGGTGTGATTACAGCCTCTCCAGAGGGCTTCTCCAAGGCCCATCATGATACCTGTGTGCTGCCTCAGAGTAATGTTGACATTTTCTGGAATGTCAACAGTCTGACTGGTGAGAATGTTCTTGATTCTCACAGTAGATGTGGCCAAAACCAAAACAAAACAAAAAACTTTCTGCTTCTTTAAAAGATAACCTTTTATTGAGTAAAAGATATTGTGAATTGTACTTTATTTAATGATGGACATTTTTTAAATTATTTGACCATTTCTTGTAAAGCGTCAAGTTATTTGGACATAATTTGATATTTTATATATTTATTTTTGTATTAACTTTTTTAGTTAGCATACAAAGTAATGAGTTTTTCAACGATGTGTGTGTGATTATACTTTGCTCTGATTCATTTCCTTCCCCCCACTATCTTATTTATATCACCTACTCACTGTGGATTAATACTCTTTCCTCTCCCAGATTGTCACTTCTCCTGCTTACACATCACATGTGTGCCATTACCGTCTTTTTCCCAACTTACTTAGGAATTCTTCTTCCTCTCTCATGAGTCCCTTTCATGACCTTCATGCAGACATACACAAGGAAGCGCATTCATACAAGCACACACGAGAAAGATAAAAACACACACATGTATATAATTACAAATCTAGATTCTGCATAATAGAAAAAAACATGCAGCATTTTCCTGAGTCTGACTTATCTTGCCTAATATAATTTCAAGTTACATCCATTTTCTTGTAAATGTCATGATTTAATTTTCTTTATGGCATAAAATTCCATTTGTGTATGTACCACATTTTCTTTGTCCATCTTTGTCATCTTTTGATGGACAAGGAAGTTGGTTCCATATCCTGTATACTGTGAATGGTCCAGCATTTAACTTGGACATACAAGTATATGTGTGGTATAATGATGTAGCATCCTTTCGGTATATTCCCCAGAGAAAAATAGCTGTCTCATATGGTAGTTCTAATTTAAATACTTTTTATAACCCCTAAACTTATTTCCATAATGGCTGCACAAGTTTAGAGGCCTACCAGAATGAATAACCTCTCCACCATGTGATGCCATTTGTTATGTTAATGATAGCCATTCTAATCAGAATGAAATGGATCCTCAAAGCAGTTTTCATTTGCATTTTTCTCACAGGTAAGGTGAGTGTTTCTAAGCCATTTGTATTTCTCCTTTTGAGGACTGTCAACTCATTTCATTACTCCGTTTGTTAACTGGACTGTTTTAGTTTTTTATTTAACTTTTTGCAGTTCTTTGTATTTCCTGAATATTAATCCCTTCTCTGATACGTGGTTGGCAAAGACCATTTCCTATCCTCTTCACTGAGATGATTATTTTCTTTACCATGCAGAAACTGAACTTCATGTACTGCCACCACCTCATTTTGGCATTATTCCCTGGACTATTAAAATCCTTCCCAAGTGTTCTTGCCTGTGCCTTTTCAACTGCAGGTGTTTTGTTTATTTTAAAGTTTCAGGTCTTATATTAAGTTCTTTGATCCACTTTGAATTTATTTTTATATAGTGTGAGAGATATACATCTTTTGTGTAAATTCAGTTTTCCTAGTTAAAGAGACTATCTTCAAGATTATACCATAAAGCTTTGGCCAAAATGCTGTGGCTACATCTGTGAGGGTTTATTTCTGAGTCCTCTGTTCTGCCCTATTATTTATAAGTCTGCTTTTGTGCACGTACCATAGTGCTTTTGGCACTTTGGCTCTGCAATACACTCTGGGATTAGCTATTGTGATATTTCTAATATTACTAATATTACTCTTTCTGCTAGGGATGTCTTTGTTTTGGGGGGTTTTGTGCTTCCACATGTATATTAGATTTCTTTCTCTCTAGTTATGTGAAGGATGTCATTGGAGTTTTCATGGAGATTTTGTTTGATCTTAAAGCAGCTTTTGAAAATATAACTATTTTCGCAATATTAATTCTGTAAATTCATAGTCAAGAGAAGTCTTTGCATCTCCTAGTGTCTTTTTCAGTTTCTTTCTGTGATGTCATAAAGTTTTTATTGTAGAGGTCTTTTACATGGTTACCATGGGTAACCAGGATGATGGCAGTAGCCTGTATTTGGAGTCTTCTGGAACCTCACTGATCAATAAATTGTAGGGAGATTTTCTATTTTCTCGTTTGCTTATTGAGTGTTTGAGGAGTGTCCTTTATATATCTGTAGAAAATACTCTAGAAAATATTCACTCTCTCCTATGTTTTTTCTTCTTGACCGATTTTTCTCAGTTCCCATGATACCTAAGCAGCCTCCACCTATGACAGCATATGAAAACATCTGCTAGAGCAATAATTCTCAACGTACGGGTCACGACCCGTTTGTGGGTAAAACCTACTTTTTCACAGGGATCACCTAAGACCATCAGAAAACACAGATATTTACATTACAATTCACAACATCAGCAAAACTACAGTTATGAAGTAGCAATGAAAAAAATTATGATTGAGG